GCAGCAGCAGCAGCAGCAGCAGCAGCAGACGACCCGGTGCCTGCAGAGCACCCAGCGCAGCAGCGCCCAGCGCAGCAGCGGCAGCAGCAGCACCAGCAGCAGCAGCACCAGCAGCAGACCACCGGAAGCCCGGCTAGCTTTCGTTCACCCCCTCTGGCCTCAAGTTCTGGCTACATTGGACTCTTAGACCATCTCAGACCGGTGACAAAACCCCTGTGCTAGGAGAGCGCCCCATCTGAGCAGGGACCCAGCTTGGGCAGAAGCCAAGGTGCCCTGCTCCGTTGAAGCCGGAAGTCTTCCTTGGCCACAGTGGCCCTTTCTGTAGTGAAAGTTTAAGGCTGATCACTTCCAGAAAGGTTGCTTGGGGTTGGGCCACACTGCCTTTGAATTGGATGGTTTTGGCCTTCCTCATCGCTTATGTTATTTCTTGGGTAGGTGTAGACTGCGCTGCCAGCATGAGCCAGACAGCTGCGGATTTGTTTGGCGACGATGATGTGGAGGCCCTGTGTTTGGCGATGAAGATCCACGATAAAGATGTTTCGGCTGACTTTCCCAGCTCGTAGAGGTCGCAGGCCGATTTGCTTTCCGTCTGCCTGCCAGGCTCGTCTTGCCCAACTGAGTCGTGGATGGGCATCGTGGCAGGAGGAGTGACGAAGCTACTGACAACATATCACAAGACCTTGTGAAGAGTAGTGAGTAGTGACTCGTAAGGCTAGCAGGTCGTCGTCGAGGCTTGTTCCCCACCATTGCATGCACTCACCAAGTTCGTCCTCACTTCCAGCATCGATGCCATGGATGAAGTTCCTTCAGTGTGTCAGATCACGCCAGACCGTCGGGAATGCCAAATTTGCATAATATCCTTGTGCTCTTGTGGGGACATGCGGTTGGAGGACTCATTCAACTGACATGCTGCTTGACTACTGGATGGTGTACATCAGGGCCGAAACACAATTGTTTTTACGCACCCAATCTTGGAGGAGGAGACCCCAGATGAGGAGCAGAATGCAAAGGCCGGGGTGGAGGGGCAGGGGTGGAAAATGGTGTGGCTGTAAAGAACCCCCCCAAAAGGGGGCATGGCAAGGGTGCGGATTGGACAGAATCTATATCGTAACCATCCCAATAGGATTCAATAGGTTCCTCTAACCCCACAAGCCCAAGCCGGTTCGGTGCGTTCGCGTGCGTTGTTCTGCTAAGGGGTACCCGCTCGCGCCCGCGCAGAGAAAACGGTAAAAGAGACAAGTTTGATTTTTATCGTTTTTACCGCGCATGTTGTTGTTTTTTGAGAACATGGCAAATCGCAAGGGAAAAACAGGTTAACACAACATTGATTTTTACCGTTTTTACTGCGCGGGTGTCTCGAAGGAACCCCATAGCCCGAGCAACACAGCTAAACCAGCACAGGTCTTTATAGTTTTTGGTTTTGCGTACTCACATGTCGGACTCTAAGCTTTGCCAGTTGCTGTTCTTCAGGACATTGATGCCGACGCCGCGGGGTGGTCTGGATGCCTGGCGGGCCATCGCTAACGCTGGAAGTGGCTGGTGCTCCATGTCGAGATTCAGACCAGTGGGCTGGATTGAACAAGAGGAGAATCCATCTTGAAAGTCTTGACACCATTCATCTTGATCACGAGCATTGGAGTCAATCCAGCAGCCTTGCAACCTTGAAAGCTGTGCCAAGGCATTTGCCTGAGAAGGACCTTCAAGAGCTGTCTCGCTACCTGCAGACCACAGCGTTGCCCATCTCGTCCCATGCACAGGCGTTCCCAGCTGCGGTTTGGCATCAGTTTTCCGGTGATTTGAGGTGATTCAAGCTTTGACCGAAGGCCAGGCTGGCCAGGGTTTGTTCCAAACAGCTCCTGTAGCTTGCTGGCTCAAGTGGAGGCCTTCGCTTCCATTTGAATAGATCATGTTGTTTTCACTCTGACCACTTACCGAGGAAAGATGAACAGGTCTTTGCTGGGCTGTGATACTCGTAGCAATGATCGCCAAAACATCACCTTCTCATACATTTGCCAATACGAGGGCAGTGAACTGCCATAAGAGTGCTTTGGAGGGAAGACAGAAGGACTCAAGCCTAAGCATCAGCAAGCCTACATTTGCTCATTGCTGTAGTTCACCTGCGTAGAGAGTGCTCCAAAGAGAGATGGCAGTTGAATCGAAATTGGCTGGATCAGGACGCCCGTAGGGAACAACAAACAGTTGAATGGCCAGGCAGGCACCCTTGCCGTTGCTCCTAAGATTGGGGGCTGTGCGAAAGTTGTTTTGTGCGTTTTTTTTTTTTTTTTTTTTTCTGTAGTGCTGTGTCCCTTGACTTGAAATCTATTCATTTGCACCATTCTGATCCATTCTGCAACTGTACACATACACAACCATTTGTTCATGATGTTTCTCATTCCGCCTTTGTGAGGAGAGAAGGGATCATCAAGGTGGGCTGAGAACAGAGCGCGGCGAGGTTGCTCAACATCAGATTTCCTTGAAGCACTCCAAGCAAGCAAGTGTGTCAAGCAGAACTTGACTTAGTGATCCAGGGTATCGCAACATGACACCCTCCAACAAGACTCACAGGGGCTTTACCAAGCTGGATCGGTTCTCATAGCAATTCCTCCTAGTCCTAGTCAATTAATCTCTGTCCACAAAAGCAGTAAATGCCTAATACCTCCTGAAACCTCTCAAAGAATCACTGAGACAAAGACTAGGATTTTTCCTTGAGTTGACCACCAGATGGGGAGCAAAGGAGATGGATGCCCAGCTAGTTGAGCCAGGCTCACGAGCAGCTTCTGGCTTGGGCTCTTGGCTGTAGGCACCTGCGCAGTGGCAGTGCTGGGCTTGGTCCCTGCCTCCCGCTGAAGGAGTTGCTATTATTAGAATCTCTGGAAGAAGAGTGTCTCTATACATTTCTATATATACTCATTCCCAATGTAGCCTAAATAAGACAATGTCACCAGAGCCATTTGCAACCGCTATATAGAGTTTTGGTGGATTTTATTTGAGCCTCTCAGAACTTAAAGGGTGGACACCTTCACCCACTCGCACGTTTGATTAGTACATGTTCAAGCGTTGAACGCCAATCGCTTCAGGTGCCTGTCATCCGCTGGTACTATCGGAAGAGGAAGACCTTCGAGTATGGCCCGTTGGAACTCGAAGAGATGACACTCAAAGCGGCCAAGGACTTCAGCATTTGGGGCTGTGAACTGGCCGTGATGGCCCGAACCACCTGAGCAAAATAAACATCTTGAGAGCTTTTTGCGGTATGCTTGACATGGATTGCATCCTGTATGTTCTTTTTTTCATGTCCTTTTGCTTTATTGTTCGTAATTTGCCACTTCGGATCTGTGCTGATTGGGGCGTGCAACTAATTTCCTATGGCCGCTTTAGACCTCGAAAGCTAAAGAACCTCGGAGGGTATCAAAGGGTTCACATTTTCGTGGCCAGACAAATTGCTTAGGCAAAGTAGTGGACTGAGTCCCATAGGTTGGGCCTGTCCTATTGCCTGTAACAGTCACTATTTTTGAACAAGGCCTTTACTGACCATCATCATCCACTGTTACTGGTAATAGGATAGACCCAACCCATAGGCAACTTGTTGTTGCAATGTATTAGGATACGTAGCAACTCTTGCTGGCCAGACTATTTGGGATTGTTCTTCTTTCACCAGTCGAATTGGAGGAGTTGCATCAGAAGGGCCAGAGGAGTCCCGTGCGCACCAGCCTTGTCCCTGATGCACTGCTCGACCTGGAGGTGTCGGTGTGGATTAAGTTTGTTTCTTGCTTGGAATTCACTGGTGGAACGAGAACAGACAGCCCAACCTAGCAGCATTGAGCAACCAACAAATGCTTTTGGACCCATCAAACGCCTGAGCCTATCCACTTTCTCTACTTCAGGAGCAAGCAGAGGAGATGCAACCCTCTTTGGCACCCTCAGCTGAGATGGATCACCGCACGAAGACTTTGGCGGACTTGGGGATTCCCAGCTTCCGCCGTTGCCTGGAGACGTTGCGTTGGCGAGGCGGAACGGACGGTGGCGACCGGTGCCGGTGAAGCTCATCGCACACCAGCAGGGTACCTGGGGTGTTTGAGGCGTTCCAGCACGGTTGGAGCACGCAATGTATAGGGGTGCAATGTATAGGCCACCCCAAAAAGCGCATGTGTGTTCCTAGCCTCTTGCAACCACAAAAGCTGAAAGCGACGGGCATTGGAGTCTCAAAAACGCGTCCCCTATGCCCAATCCCACCCTATTAAGTTGTTATGATGGCTTTTGGAGTCCCATGTTGAATGAAATTTGACTGACGCAATCGCGCCCTTCCCAGTTCTTGGGCTGTAAGTTCGGCACAGACCTCAGACCTCAGACGCATCACTCTTTCGACCTAGCTGGGATTCCCATGCACAGACGCAATCTGTTTCTCCACTGAGGCTTCCTTCGGGACCGAAAGCTCCCGGATCCGAAACGGGGCCCTTGTGACACCCTGCAGCTGAACATAGGCCGGAGGGAGAACGAAATCATGTAAGCTCTCATTCCCAAGGCAAAGTGATGGAGGCGGAAGCTGTTAGTGTTTTCTTAATTTATTCTAGAACCAAATGAAAGATATTCCTGGAATGATCATTCCATCAAAGATACTTTTGGGGACATGACATTGTGGAATTGAACTTAGGAAATAGAATTCGTCACTGTGGTCGCACTTCGCCTAACGTGTTTGTCTTCAAGTATGGTCCAAGGCCTGGTCAAGGAATGCTTTTGCCAAACTGTAGTTTGTACTTGCACCTTCGGCACAGGTTGGGTCTGTCCTATTGCCTGCAACACTAGATCAACAATTATCACAATTTTAGAGAAAGGCCTTTACTATCCTTTACTCACTGACCATCATCATCATCATCATCATCCACTGTCACTGGTAATAGGATAGACACAAGGCACAGGAGTGTTTGAAAGTTTACTTATGCCGGTGCAGCATTCCACTGCACACTTCCGATTCCAGACGCACAGTTTTGAAGTACAGATTAGATCATACAATTTACACCCTTAGCCTTTGACGGTGTCTTTAATCTGGAGCCTAAGCGGTGGTTTCAATAACTATTTCATGGTTCTACGGGTTCCCCAAAGCCAACTCCTATTGCAGTCAATTGTCATGCGAAAAGAGCACTGACGAAGCCTGGTGTTTATGTGCAGGCAGTGTAGAAACCCTAATAGGATGGCCCTATAGTAAAATGGTCTCTATCTTAAAGTAGAAGGGTTGAAAGACTGCTATCATTCCGCTTACAAAAAGCGCAAAGTGCATCACCTGCTGGTGAGCCAGTGGTAGACATGCCGGAGGATTGGTTGATTTTTTGTGCCTCGGTGCCTGCTCAATCTAGCGAAATAAGAAGGTCACGTGTTTTCCTGATCGCAATCAAATTCCTCCTCAACCAATGGGGGAAAGGTTTTGGACCATGGCAATATTTGACTAGCTAGGAACTTGGAAGTGATGGATTAGCAAGATATCCCTAGCTGTCCATCTCTTATCGCGTCGACCGATTCCTAGGCTCTCTATAGGACCGCCGTGCGAATGGTCGCGAGGCCTGTACTGCAACCAAGCATGCAACCACTGCCACGTGGAATCTTCGCCTTTGCGGAAGGAAATGATGTCAGAGGACCCGCATCACCTCGAGACAGCACTGGGGCTCAGATAGAAGCGCCGCCGATCCCCTTCTGGGACAAGCCTGGATGTGCACAGAAAAGACAAGCGGCAAAGATGACTACGACCTCTTAAGTGTGTATTAACGCGGGCACGTTGAACATCATTGGACATGCTGTCGGCATGTCACATGTTCTCTCCAATTTTTTTGGACCTGAAGTGGTCTGATGCAGGAAGTTGTGGATAGATGCTTACTGCTTCTCAAGAACACTCCGAGTGTGAAGGCGATGCGAACTGCCAGACTGATTGTCAAAAGATGTATTGATTTTAGAGGGCTAGGCAGAACTGCAAGAGAAGAGGCTTGTTGCCACTGGCTGTCCAAAAGGTGCCAGATTTTGTGCTTGCCAGATACACAGACCCGGCCAATGGCAATCCTTGCTTTCAGTGGCTGTTTTGATCAAACACATTGGAACAAACACCTTTTGAGTTGGGTGCGAAATTGACTAAACCATTTACTGTAATGCCACGCTGCAAACCAATTGACCAAACTAAACCATACTATACCATACTAAACCAACCTTCTTTGCACAGTCCCATCTGCACCGGTGCCGCAGGTCCTGGACATCACCGGTGGCGCGCCGGAGCTGAACTCAGGCTTCCGGCGCCTCGTCGAAGGCGCTGCAGCGCTGCGGGCCGCTCAGCTGAAGATCGCATTTTTCCACCCAAACGGTTTTTCCACCAAAGAATATAGTCACGGGCGCACTGGTCGCCCCGTGTTGTAAACGGAGCATTCATGGAACGTAGTGGAAAAAATGCAGGTTCAGAAACCATTCGTTTTCATCAGTGCGGACCGCGTATGTTCGACTTTTATTGGCCACTGTTTGTCTCGGATCACTTGCATCAGAGCTTCCAGCACATCTTTTGCCGCTGACTCTTTCAGTTCTCTTCTCCAAGCAAACTGCCAGACTCGTCTTTCAATGGCTGGGTTATGCACGGATGAGCCTTTCACTTTGACCTTTCTCGGCATGCGTCGTGCTTGCCATATATCCATCTCTTCTTATACAAAAACATTACTGTAACTACACAAGATGATGTGAAACCGATGACAGCCGATGACAGTTATGACACCGATGACAACCTGTGGTGAAGCCGATTTGGAACATACCCCCCCCTCCGCCCACCCACCCCACTTTAATCACACGACTAATCGATGACAACGTTATGAAGCCGATGGCAATGTTATGACACCGATGACAAAGCTGCTGTGAAAACAGTAAAGCGTACGAAAACACCAGGCGACTGACCAATCCGTGGGCAACTATACACTAGGTTGGAGGCCATCGCTACTAGGTTGGAGGCCGTGGCTAGTAAGTTGGAAGCCATTGCTATTAGGTTGGAGGCCATTGCTACTGATCTTACCCTTTGAACAGGTGCTTTTGCTGCTGCTCGTCTTGCTGGTTATAGTATGTAGGGTCTGCGTTTGTATCCGGCTGTTTGGCTGTGGCGGGTTGCTTGGGCCTGGTATGCGGTTTTCTGGCTGTCTCCAATTGTCTTCGACTGTCTTCGTTTGCATAGGAAATCAGGCTTTGAGGTTGGTGTGATGAGACGTGTGCAGAGACATTGGTTTTTTTTCCCTTTTCGGGTCCACGTCGGATGTTTTTTTTCTGGCGGTGGAATCACATCACGCGGAGGATGGTAAGAAGAGAAGAGGCCGTATGTTTGTTGCATGCATTTCAATTGGAAAAATGTTAGTTCAAACCTAGAATTCTCCCAATCTCATGCGATCATTTGCCACTATCCAAGAACCTATTTGCAGAAGGCTTAGATCTCCAAGCTGCACCGCCAGACCCAGGTGACATTTAAAACATCATGAACATAGATGTTTGGTCGCAACGTCTGTTGTTGAGTTTTTTCCTCCTGGCCTGAGTTGTTGAAGATTGCAGGATATCTTGCTACTATTTCCATACGTATGTCGTGATATTTGTTTTGTCAACTTGCTAGTTAGGTGATGCTAGGTGGCATTGCACGGTTCGTTAATTATTCTAGGATGAGTTCATTCTTCTTTGGGACGGGCCCTTGGATGGACTTTGGGTTGTACTCGTATTTCATGAGATTTGGTGGCTTTGCAGTCTGGGTTGTGCCCTAATTTCCTTCTGTTACAGCGACGAGGCCAAAGCCACTGAAAATGAAGCAACACTGTGAGGAAGCTACAAGCAGTCAGTTTTATCGAGCAGAAGTAGTCTGATTCGTTTCACTTAATAACACATATATATATATACATCAATTCAGAAGGTGCAGGGTTTTGACACCAAGGAGACTGGGCGAGAGTTGCGCATCATCGACCGTTGCAACCTCACGGCCCGCAGTCGTCGGACTGAGTCGGATGGGCTTCGTCGGAAAGGTTGATTGGGGGGAGAACACGTAGCGATGCCCTTGCTTTCAGTGCTTAATAAGCTACTAGGAACAAGTGCCTTACTAGTAACAAGAAGCTATTAGAAACAATAAAAAGAATTTAAGTTACTAGTAGCTTCTTGTTACTACTAGTAAGGCACTTGTTACTAGAAGCGATGCACTTGTTACTAGTGGCTTCTTGTTACTATAGAAATGCACTTTGTTCCTAGTAGCTTCTTGCTACTAAGGAAGAACAATGCCAATGCATTCAATTGGCTGACATTCTTGGTAGAACCAGAAGACTTGCCTTTTTCTCATGTTGTTGCTTGGTACCCTCTTGCCAACAGTAGTATACTAGTTGAAAACCCGCTTGGTACGCGCTGCATGCAGGTCCTGCTTGAGCCAGGGCAGGAGACCTTGCCCAACTTCCTGGCTGAGCATCGCGTGGATGTGATTTGCTCCCTTCCAAGCTACGAGCCAGAGCAGACCGATAGGCCCCAGTCACTGAGGGTGATCATTGTAGGGACGCTTTGGAGAGATTCGCAGGGTGATTGGCGAACGGATTCCCCGGGCCACTGTGATCTGAAGCAGCTGGACGTTGCAAAACGGTTCGGTCGGGGATTCACGTCTGCGGCATGGCTGGCTTACACTCCAACTCACTCACATACAGGTGCCAGGTACCACTTCCAATCTTAGAATTACTAAGTATACTTGGCCAAGACGATCCAAATCGATCCAATTTCCATTTTGAAGCCTAAAGCCCCAGCTCTAGAGCTCGCCAGGCAGCGTGGCCGAAAGGTCTTCGAGCGGAGTGTCCAGGCGCAGCCGCTGCGCAGCACAGCGTGTCACGAGTCCAGACGGACATGGACGATCGTGCGTCCGGTGACCTCGCTTGGTCCTCCTTGGGGCTGTTGACCTCCGATGCCGGTAGGGTGGAATAAAGATCAGTCCTGTAATAGGAGCCCACCCGGTGAAATTTGGAGAGTTGTCCTTTCCAAACACTGTGCTGTCCCAGGGCCTCCGCATCTTGAATGATCACGGTTATGGTACAGGTGCCCTGGCCGATTGCTGTGGCGACCCTTGTCGGATGTCGCGTTTTGGGGGACCACCAGCTCAGATTTCCAACTTAGTTGAGCATAGTTTCTCGCGATCCTTCAGTTAGACCCTTGGAATGGAACCTAAGTGAAGAAGGCAAAAATGGCCTTGCAATGGTACCTCAGATCTTTGTTGGGAAGCCTGTACTTTATCACATCATTTGGAGCTTCTTTCACAAAGACCACGGAAGCTGATCATTCATGGCTCAGGAGCCACTGGCCTACGCTTGGACTTGGTCTTCAACCCTCCGGGACCTTTCTTACCACCCAAGCAATGTGCGTCTCTTGCCGTGGAATGGTGATCACCGGGCGTTTCGGCTGGTCGGCGATGTGACCTTTCTTTGGCACACGAGAACACCAGCAACACCGGCAACACCCTCCACTTGCAGCGGATCGTTCATTTTTCGGCTTGGCCGGGATCGATCGTAAGGGGAGGCATCCGCTGTTGTGAGGTGAAGCAAAAATCAACATAACCTACTAGCAATGGCCTCCAAGAATTTTTAGGCTGTCCCATCAAGCTCCATTGAGCAAGTCCAGTCCTCCATGGGCTGGTAGTTCCCCGAAGGGCTTTGCCCAAAGTTGTGATTGGTAGGTAGCGATTGTGGATTCTGTAGCTGGAGGAGTTCAATGGTTTTGTGCTATATTGGTCCTTCATATGTATGTTTGTCATTCATGGAACTGAGGCTTCAAGGCAAATACAAGAAAGAGCTGGGAGATGCCTATGGCATTAAGTTTGATGGCTCCCTGGCAAACAGGACTTGCTGACATGCTGGAGGATCCGAGGTACTTTGAATTTGGAGAGTGCGTGATAAGAGGGTGCGGCAGATTGGATTTTGGATCGTGGTGGATAAATCCAACTTATATACAGCTGAAGCCACGTCGAAACAGCCCAAGGATTGATCACCATCTGCAATATGCCCATCAAGCCACTTGGCCCAGACAACTCTCAAGCCACTTGCCCATATATAAATGCTCAAGCACCGTTTGTCTGGCAATTGTTCCTGTATGGGCAGCGACAACAGTATACAACAGTCCTATGGTGGGCCCATTGACGGACCGCCGAAGCATGGAAGATCAGTGGCTAAGGCGGTACTTTGACTTCTTGCGAAAGAAAGGCCGGTCACATGGCCCGCTTGTTCGGACATGCGAGATCCTGTGCCCGTGCAACATTTGGGAGAAACTCGTTGACTTCCCTGAGTTTTCTTAAAATGAGCGGTTTCCGACTCCGGTATTCTAAGGCACGCAGTGAAGTCGTAAGTAGTAAATGTCACTGCCAGGTGCTTTGGAGGGCTACATGGTTCCTTGGCTCGAATGAATCAGTGCAGCAAGGCTTCGTAGCGAGCTGGTTCAATGAACCGTGACATGACATGAACTCAATGTCCTTTTGCCCATCCAAGTTTGTCATTCTAAGGACCTCTTAGTCCGGAACTTCAATGAACAAACGATGCCTGTACTCATGTGCACGAATACCGTCAATGTGGGCTGGGACGGCAAGATGTGCCAAGGCAGCAAGAAGGCTCAGCTCGGTTTCGTTCCGACGAAGGGAGTGGACTCTCTTGAATCATCTTGAATCACTCATAGAGCTTCCTCATGAGCACCTTATGATTGGTGAATCCAATCCGCAGTGCACGATGCAGCTTGGCATTGGCTTTCAAGGTCAAGCAGCAGCTTACCAACTAAAAGACATTGAGAGACACTAGTCGAGTTGCCTGGCTGGCACCCGCTTTTGTTGTGTGACATTGCATGATGACCCCAACGGCGACATTCTAACAATGGGAAAGCTCCAGCTCCAGCCACTGTTTGTGGGCCTTTACTGTAATGTGTCGAGCAGAGCAGGTTGATGTTCGTCCACTTGGTGCACACACAACTAATTCAACACTGAGATGATTGTGCTGTATATGATATATGAGTTTTCTACGTCGAAGGTACGACTGTGACTTCAACCAGCAGCTGGATCTTGGCCTGGCTGGATTGAGTGTCTTCGACGTTGAGAGCCTCGATGATGAGAAGCTCCGGCGAGCTGCTGGGGACCTCAGAGCTTCGGAGGGCGACCTCTGAGGGGGGTGCGAAAAAGTCCTGGGCAGCTCGGGACGGCGGCGTATGTTTTTCTTCACTTTCATGCCTTTGGATGCATTTGGGCCATCTCATTGTGGCAATGTGGCTAGAAATTGCCAGGTATCATTCAACAAAACACCCCTAGGTTACTTGGAAAGAGATCACGCATCCTTGCTTCGAGGCGGTCTTCAGTTTTTAGGCGGTTTGGAATTCGTCTGATCGAGCACATGGGCGTGTGTTTCTAGCACTTAGCATTTAGCCAACACCGTAGTGACAGCATCCAGTCTTCAACGGTGACAATTTTTTAAAGTCTTTTTCAACATTCAGTCGACGCGAATTTGTCCCTAGCTAGATCCCGACTCCGGCTAAGCCTCCAAATGGAGCCTCGGAGTGTGTAAAGAGTAATTATAGGATGCTCTCAAGCTGGGCTACGCACAGCCCCTCGTCGGAGCCGTGTTAGAGAGAGAGAGAGGACGCGAAAACCTTTCTTTTTAAAAACCCGCTCCTATCAGCTTTATTTTTTTTTTGTTGGCCGCTAGTAGAGGTTAGCTAGCTAGGTAGCTAGTGGGGTGAGGTAGCTACTACCTAGAAGTAGCTACTAGTATGGACGCAGGATAGCTGAAGAAACGCTCGCACTAATGATTTGATTTCTACATTTTTAGGGAAACGAGGGGAAACTTAACCTCGGGTTCTCACGCCAAACGAGGCCATCGCCACTGCTGCGCATTGCTTCGGATGCACTGCTGCGCAGGGCTCTGGCTGACAGGGTGCGCTGGTCTAAACTCTGATGGAGCAGAAGCAGCTCACCTGATGATTGTCTATGAGAAATTGTCTTATTCATGCTGTATGTTCTAAATATAACATGCCACGTGATGTTTGGCTCCAGATTTGAGAGCGAGTTGATCGAGGCAGTCCACGAGTATCTTCCGAGTGGGCTTTCGTTGGCTGATTTGCAAGGAACATACAGTGCATTTAAATATATTTAGGACCGTGATCTCGATTGGCTCTCATTCCCCGACAGGGAGAGCTTCCTGAAAATGGGAGGTCACAAACAGGTCTTCTCGTCAACTTCCCAACGAGGAGGTTGAGCCAACGAAAGCAATGGTGGCAGTTGGGCTGCAAGTCCCAGACCATTTGTCGCTACAGTATGATTCGGGCTGCTTCTATACTTCCTTTGCTGTTCCTTTGCACTGCCGCCAAATTCGGCAGTAATTTTCCAGCAAAGATGCCTGTGCAATGATTCCTCAAGTATCGTGTTTGTTTTGGTGACGGCATGCAATGATAGACCGAGTGCCAATGCCTTGCAACTTTCGACCATAGCTCCCATTTGCCAGCATGACACTTTCTTTCGAACTTTGATCAATCATTGGCACTTGGACTGCCTGACCGTTGCATGCCGGATTCGCAAATCACGATAATGGATCATTTCAGGCCTTTTTCGGTGTTGGGGCATGTCCACTCTCGCTCTTGTCTTTGTTTCAGTATCGCTCGAGTGGCCCTGTAGGAATTTGCCATTTTTTCATCCTTCGAAGCAGTGGTTCGTGCCTCCAACCCAAACATGGGATCCCTGAAAGCTGTACAGACCAGGTTCAGCAGTTCGGATCCCAGAGAAACATAAGAGAACAGGCGAACAGTCCAGGTATATCCAGGTATGATGTATCGCGGGAGGGCACAACGACATGGCAAGTCCGACACCTTATTTTGGTGGGGCAGGTCAGCACCCGCTGAACACCTTGAGTATATTCACATTCTTCTCAGCATTGTTGTGGAATCGGAAGACGCGCCAGGTCAGTTGATATTCACAACAAAGCATTCCAAGTGTTCTGCCTCTTTGTGGGGGCCCTCGAGTATATATGTATATACACTTCAGAAATGGGAAGCTGCCGGCGGTGGCAATGGCAGGTTGTTTGGGATTGGTATGGATTGGTCAAGTATCCAAATCTGGAAATACATTCCATAGGTCCTTCTCCATGGTTTGGGACATGAAGTACCTTTCTTTTCAAAATTCAGAAACATCCATGAGACTCAACCATGACCTGGCCATGGTGAGAGGCCCGCTTGCTGGTGTTGCTGCCAGCCCGGCACAGATTGACGGTCAATCATTGACCATGGTCTGACAGGATCACCGAAGAGATTCACAGGTCATAGATTCCATAGAAAAGAGCTTTCATGTGTTCCTCTGCTTCCTTCGCCTGACGTCCAGATTATGAAAGTGACAAGTGGTTAGTCGGTGGGATGTGGGATTTCAACATGTATGTTTTGCACTGTTTTGCTGGGGAAACAACGCCACACTCACCCAAAGCGATCACGTGATGGACTTGGTACTAGTACTGTATTATATAATACTACATTATATAATATATATATATATATTATAATACACTCATCAAATCTTGATGACCTTGAGTCACACAATGACTTTTGATCATCGCTCGCATACTCATGCATCACAACTCATCGAACGTAGATTTTCGACTCAACCTTACCTTCCATCATTCGAGCGTCAGACTGGATTTCTCTTTTCAGGATCGGAAGCAATCTTTGCGTTCAGAGAGGACGGATTCTTTTCCATCAAACATGACTCTAAGACAACCTGCCCTGCATCAAGGGCCAACATATGCAAACATAGAGCAATTCTATCACAGATACGGCCGAAGGAGCATTCCAAGCATACGACCAGTTCCATACTGCCTGGCATACTGCTTTTGATTCTCATTTAGTTTTGTATGGCGCCTTCCCCTTCGCCAGGCAAGACATTGGCGCGACTCCGCACGCCTCTGACTTGGATGAGAGCGGAAAGCGCTTCATGAAGGCGATCGGAAACGGGGACACATCGGTTTGGGAGGTCAACAGGGTTTTCCATGGCAGAAGACCTGCTTTTCTGTCGTCATCATCCGAGTTGGAACTCGGATTCGCTCAGTGGCTGATGCTTGAAAGGACAAAGAGACACCTAGTTTGCCAGATGTTTGTTCAGAGGCCGCGCATGAGTTGCTTCTGTTAAGCCTCAGGGGGCTGCATATCCGTCTCCGGCCAATTCTGCTTTTGCTACCACTCTACAATTGCACAGAATCACTTCCTTTGACATTGTCCTCACCAGTTCCAAAGGGCAGCTTCGACTTGAACACCTGGAAATTCCATTAAACATCGTGTTCACCCCTTTCGCCCCGAATTGGTTTCTCCCTGAGACTCCAAAGACAAGTCAAGCAAAGGGCGTTCACACAACCCCGTTTCCACATATCGCAGTTTCATCAGGCTTTCGAGGTCCATGTGGCCGTGCGGCGTCCGCTGGGCCGAGCGGTTTTTTTCTTTTGAGGTCGATGTGTTGAAAGAGCCCCTAGTAGCTTCTTGTTACTACTACTAGCTTCTTGTTACTACTAGTAAGGCACTTGTTACTAGAAGCGATGCACTTGTTCCTAATAGCTTCTTGTTACTACTAGTAAGGCACCTGTTACTACTAGCGTGGCACTTGTTCCTAATAGCTTCTTGTTACTTCTAGTAAGGCACTTGTTACTAGAAGCGATGCACTTGTTCCTAATAGCTTCTTGTTACTACTAGTAAGGCACCTGTTACTACTAGCGTGGCACTTGTTCCTAATAGCTTCTTGTTACTACTAGTAAGGCACTTGTTACTAGAAGCGATGCACTTGTTCCTAGTAGCTTCTTGTTCCTAGCAGTACGGCCAGGAGCCCCTAGTAGCGTCCTTGCTCCTAGTAGCGAGGCCAGGAGCCCCTAGTAGGGAGATGTTTTAGCTTGAAACGTCATTGCAAAGATTCGGAGAGGGAGGCATACCAGGTATACCGACAGTTACTTCGAAGATTCTAAGCCTGTTACTGGGGCCTGGCTTTAAGTCGTATCAACCGGAGGAAAGTCGTATCAAAATGGTGTGCCCTTGGGGATTGGCTTATTTATGGATGTTTGTTGTTGTTCTATTTGTTCTAACTGATGTTAACGTGCTGTACCCATGCGTTGCTTGCGTGTGTGATAGATTCAACAACCTTGTTGCATCATTGCATCGTGTTTTCTATTAGAGTTCTTACTTCAAGTATAAGAAGAGCTGCATGTGTGCGTTTTCGAGCGTGGGTGCTGGTGCCGCTGCAGGGTGCGCCGTTGTTCCAGTGTAGGAAGAGCTGCGTGTTTGCGTGCTCGAGCTTGTACTAAAGACTTGCTTTGGCGGCGCTGTGCCACTGGAGTTTACATGTTTTATGTGACTTCTTTCCAATGCGGTGTGCCATGGGGGTGATGTGACTTTTCGCCGACTGATGTGACTTAAAATCCTACTAGTAGCTACAACAAGCTTGTCAGACAGCGGAAACACCTACAGTGGCGGTACATCTCGATCCATTTTCAGGAGTCCAGAAGGGCTCGTCCTTCCTTGAGGGTTCGATGCGGCTGAGGTTGGCAGCTGAGAACTCCAAATTCCGAGACGTTCCTTCAGTACTTGAGCTCGGAGGATGGGTGGTCCGAAGGGACTTCTGCTTGGCTAGATTGCTTGTCGCTATGAGACCGGATGATTTTGGATTGAAAGGTCCTGCAACTTGTAGCAAGGACGCTACTAGGGGCTCCTGGCCTTACTACTAGGAACAAGAAGCTACTAGGCGCTCCTGGCCTTACTACTAGGAGCAAGGGCGCAGAGATGATTCCACCCACAAGGGCGGAATGGTGACGATGACAGACACAGAGTCAGTTGCCATGACAGCGCAGACTTGGCCTCAGGACTTGTGCTGGGCCATGCATTCAGATTGCCAAGGGACCATTGTGGACAACATTCTGGAGGCTTCAGTCATGGTCATGTGAAGAGCGAGCGACATGGGAGTTCGCTCACATACTGGATGTTTCGATGGGAAACACATACATAGACTATTTCCTGTAGCTTAGAAGCAAACCACTTGTTGCCGGACAGTTATCACCTACCTAGTATAGCATAGCCATGCATTGCCTAGCTAGTTTAGCTGGGACAGATTGGAACCTATTAGAGTGGTGCCTTTTTGTTGGGTCACTTGGCAGGATCAAAAGCACGTTTTGAGAGCCTTTTTCACACAGCTTGCCCAGGCACTTGGGACAGATCTTGACTGGCCAGCGGGGTGGCCAAAGTCTGCCAAGGGCCATGCCATACCCTTTGCCTCCCCATTGCTCAAAGAGGTTGCTGAAAATCAGATGTACGTTTGCGTTTGCTTCAGACCATCAAAAGTTGCATCAACATCTAGCTTAAACATATTTATGTCGAGGTTTGGCTGAGGGATTGGGTGGATCTTTGGACGTTTCACCTGAGGCCCTGCGGCATAGTGGGCTGGGACTCTGGCTTCATGACCGGGCAGCCCTCAGAAAGGTGCGCCGATGGCTTAGCCATCCTTTTGCAGGTGAAGATGGGTTTCATCCAGTGAAGACATCCTCAACGAGCCGAATAGAAAACGGCGATTCAACGACGAATTCAACTAGATTCCTGGGCGACTTCTCCTGTTGTAGGAGCGTTTCACCTTTTCCGACTCAGACATGGCAGTGGGCACCCTACTTGGACTTGTTCAACCCGATTCAACCCTTCAAGTTTACACCAAAAAGGAGCTGTTGTTTTGAGTTACTAATAGCAGTGGCCTCCAACCTAATAGCAATGAGATCTTGTCATAACAACACATGACTCACATGACATTTCCACCAAAAAGGACGTATAGAGGCTTGACAGAAAACTCGAAGCACCGCGACAACCGAAGAGGATTTGTCCGGGTGTTTGGCCTGTAGCACTCCATGAAGAGACTTCAAGCCTCGAGTAGTTTATCAGTCCATGTCACACCGCCGCCAACTCACCCTAGATACCTCCACTCCATGGCTAGGTGTTGGAGCAGCTCCCTCGAGTCTTACTGCGACGCCAGGGCCAGGCTAGGATCTGATTTCCGGGCCCCTCATCCTTGCAGGCGAAAGGCAACTCCCGTTCGGGGCTGTTCTGGAAGAGAATGCACCAAAGATTGGTTTAAACGTTTAAACACACTGATGCCATCCCCTGCCGAATAAACCTTATAGAATCTGGGAGGTCGAGAAAAAGCTAGCCTAAACACCTGTGCATTCACAAGTTGATTTTTCATGATGCCCAATAGGTTGAGCTATTCCATTTTATAGAGAAGGCATGAAACTGCCAGTTGTATTCCAAATCATTAGATCATCCTCTGTGCGATTTCCGGTGCGTGTTGGGATTCTAGGTTTCAATTGTCCAATCATCCCTTTATATAATATTTTTTGACATTGACATGCTTTTGCATGTCTGTTTAACCTTCTTCTGCCCTGCAGTGTCCAAACATGTCTCTATAAAATCACAATCAACCTCTTG